GAGCGCAGGCGGCTGCGTTCCAGCCGGAGGATGAGGAGGTGGAGGAGTTCTTCGCGATACTGAGGCGGATTCACGTCGCCGTCAAGTACTTCGAGGGGCGTAACGGCGGGCGCCGTGAGTTGACGGCGAGGCCTCGGCTGGTTGGATTTGACGGGGTTGTGAAAAGTCCGGATGGCTCGGGCGCGAAGCGGAAACCGGGTTTGGATCTGAACTCCGAACCGGAACCCGATGTTCCGGATAATAGTAATACTGTTTAGTGTTAGTAGTATTGTTTACTTTTGTTGATTTAAGTTAATTGCGAATTTGAGGTGTTATTATTGTGCGAATTAAAAAATATCTTTAAGTATTGTGTGGTGCAGGAAATTCGATGTTTTTATGTCTTATTAATTTACGGATGCAAGTGATTTTATTCGATGTAAATAATTAAATCATTACTTTAAGCAGTTGGGTTTTAAATTATTAGTGGAGCTTTTTTATATAAAATATTAAGATTGAGTAATTAATTTCATGTGTTAATTAGTTTGGTATCCTTTAAACATAAATTGAAAAAATAACCAAATAAATTTGAGGGAGATGCTACAGTCCCGTTACGGAACTATTCCATCGAAATTTATAACCGTTAAATCATAATATAATCATCAAAGATAATACAAATTCCGATAGAATAATTCCGTAACGAGATTGTAGCATCTTCCTTTCATATTATTAATTGAAAACATGATTAAGAGATGATAAATACAATCCCCTCCTCGCCCCTCGGGTCTCTCACTCACCAATTCATTATGAAAATACAACTAAATTAATAGTACTTATGGAAATATTAAACTTAAAAATCATATCAAATTATTATACTTAATTAATATACATTTAGTATTCAGTGATTCGTTTTATTATAAATTATACAAAATATATTAAAAAAGTAAAAGTAAACTCACAAAAGATATATATACTATTATCATTACTTCATTACCTATCTCAATTTCTACTTAATTCTAAATAAATATTGTTTATATTACATTTTCTGCAATGCACGAGCACCAATACTAATTTTAAGCTGATTTTTGTTAATCATAGTTAATTTTGAAAAAAGTGGTATAATTAGTTGTTAGTGAAATTTTGATGTTTATTAAAGTAATATTTAAAATGAAATAATTAGAGTA